GCTTAACTCAAGAAAAAATCGTGCAGGCAAGTGCCAAGAAATTTTATATCATCGCTGATGCCAGTAAGCAATCAGAAAAACTGGGCGATAAGAATTTTCCCATTCCAATCGAAGTCGTTCCATTTGGGTAGGTTTTTCAGCACTGTAATTACGTTTATCCGCTATCAAGTCCAGGAGGCTATTTGTTCATCTTTATTGTTATTAGTGTTTTTTGCTTCGTATGTCGTCTGGTTTCATGCGACTTGCCTCGACACACCATTTATGAAGCTCCTAAAGAAGATTTGCATGATAAGTGGTCAAATCATTTCGTTTGCTGATTAAATTGGAAATGGTTTAGACCGGCTAACTTAGACATTCAACAAATATCTTTCTAGCTTGCTTATTGCTTCCAGAAGTGTCTTTTGCACTGGTAAGTCATCATTGCAAGACATGGTGGGCCGCACTGTGTCAAAAATGAACTGAGATTGTAATATCGTTTTACAGATATGCGCCAGTTTTGAACTGGATAAAACGCAAGGAAGGTGGTGAAGCTGAGTTGAGGATGAATGGTAAAGGAAAGTTGGATCCTTTTATTACAGACAACAACAATTTCATCTTGGATTGGAATTTTCCGAAAAATAAATATGTGACAACGGAAGATCTAGCAGCTTTGCACACTCGTCTGATATCATTACCAGGTGTTGTCGAGACGGGTCTTTTTATAGGTGTTGCCGAGAAGGCTTATTTTGCTACTGCTGATGGGAATGTTACGGAAAGGCTGAGACCAAGTCCCTCTTTTCATTTCTCCCCAAATCAGAAATCTTCATCTCATTAAAAATGGAATAAGATTCAAGTTAATTTTTATAAAAGAAAGTATGTTTAACTGAGATTCCTTGCCATCAGCTGTCTCTGTGAACATCTGTGTATATTGGGTAAATCTCAAAAATTTGTGTTATGTTATTGGCTTATCTATATATAACTTGGAAAGATAGATGTTAGATTTTCAGAATATTTTCCTTCCTTCTGATAATGAGGAAATATTTTTGTACTTTAACTAACGCGACTCAAAATGAAGATAGTTGAGTGCTTTTAGAGAACATTAGCATTCATTTCGTTAAGCAAAACATTTGAATATCACTTGGAACAATTTTTCGGATAATAAGTCACTGTGTGATGTCTTCATTGGAGTGATATGGCTCTCTGAACTGGATTAAGCTTAGTCATCACCAACGGTATACTTTATTTTCTTAGATTGGGAGCGCGTCCGTTCTATTTCTTTTTTTTTCCTTCTTTTTTTTTCTTTTTGGGTGCATTATTACGTTTGTGGATTTGTTTATACCTTCATTTATGGAGATTTCAAGGTGATTCGGGCCAGATCCAGAAGTCTGTAATTCCCTGGAAAACTTCTTTCAGACTGCATTGTTGATAATATCGTAGCATATTCAGCTTGGAATATGCTGTGCTAAAATTGTTACCTGAAATGAATTATTTTCAATAATATGTATAAACATGCATGATTATTTTGCACTTTTGCAATTTAATGCTTTCAAGAAGCATGTCTTGCATACATAAAGAAGAGCAATAAATTTATGACGTTAAGAAAAAACATATTGCCAACTACTGTTACCATGTTCGTCCTCTTGATAAGCACTCCTGTTGCATAAACTATTATATTACCTGCTGGTACTCGTTTTGATATTGAAGTTTGCCTTCTTGTGAGTCTATGTGTTTTTTTTTCTCCCCCATACGTAGCAATCGCAAGCGAACATTTGTTTCTGTTGAATCAAATAGATTATTCTGAAGAGAAGTAAGATTATAACTGGATATATGGAGCTTATGGCTGTTGTTTATCCCTTCGAGTGGTATACCGGCAGGCTGTTTCATTTGAAATTTTTGCTATTTGGTATTCGTAAAATTGGTGGGAAGTTATAGCTGCGTTAGCATTCAATCATTAATTGTATGAATGAGTGATGGAGCGGGAGATTTCAGGAAATATGAAAATAATAAAGTGTATGGTTTAATTCATTCTAGAAAATAAATTAGTGTTTTCCAGACCTATGTTCCATATTTTTGCAGAGTCATTTACGTGCTATCTTTTTTGAATCATGATCCGGATATGGAAGCTCTTGGGGATATTTATAGTTGAAAAATTAAATTTGCCATCTCTTGATCAGGGTGCCGTGACATGATTTATGTTTCCTAAGAATTGCAGATTGTTAAAGGAGCTATGGAATCCGTCCTAGAAGCTTTTCTGTTCACATTCATTGACCCTCCGAATGTTAAAATATCACCTCCAAGATGGCTGAAGGTTTGTTCTGTACCTTTTTGTTAGTATGCTTTCGTGTTAAATCTGTTTTGCTATGATCGTTTTATGACGAGTCGTTATAAATTGGCGTTATAACACTGCATCCTCAAACGTATTGAAGTATTGCTTATTAACTTCTCAAGTTATTATGTTGTTTTTAGATGCCTTCACCGATGCAGGTATTCACACTAGTGATGATGACTTATTTCTTCGTGACTGGAGGTGTCATCTATGATATTATCAATGAACCTCCAAGCATCGGCAAGTATTAGTATGTAATTACTCAATTTTATTGTTTTAGTTCTCAATACTATTCCTCTTAATTTAATTATTATTGTTGTAGGACAAACGACCGATGAAAGGGGTAATGCAAAACCAGTTGCTATAATGCAATATCGAGTTAATGGGCAGTATATTATGGAAGGCTTAGCAGCAAGCTTTATGTTTTCTTTGGGCGGTAGTTTTTTTAATTGTTTGCTGAGCGTTGAAAGTCATAACTATTGATATAACTCTCTTCCTGGTGATATCTTCAAGTTCTTAAGTATATAAACTTTGGTGGAGATGAAATCATATATTGAATTTTGGCATGTAAAAGTAGCTTAGGATTTCGCAACTGTATTTCAAACATCCCTTCTCTTATCCTTTTTCACGTCTTTCAGGACTTGGTTTTATCATACTGGATAAATGCAATAATCCGTTGACACCTAAGTTGGATCGAATAATGATGTTGGGACTGGGTTTCGCTTGTGTTCTCATTGGTTTCTTTGCCACTCGGTTGTTCATGAAAATTAAGATGCCATCTTATTTGCAAGGTATTACTGGCTAGTAGACGCACTTTTCACATTCATGTCATCAGTTTGTGCAATAGAAAGCGTATTTCTGAGTTTTATTGAAGCGCTTCAAGCGGTGAACATCTCTGAAGAGGGATCTTTGCTCAACTTTATTTATCAGTATTAATAGTTGTTCGCATCAGAAAGGCATGGTTTTTTCTAAGAAATAGTTCACTGTTGAATTTTCGGCATAAACTTCTACATTTGCTTCTTTTGTGATTATGAATCGTTGTGAATCGTATGCATTCACTTATGTTTAAAGCACGATTCTAACATCGATTAAAGAGTTGCAAAATGTAGTTCTTGGTTCAAATCACTTCACAGCTAATTAAAATGATTCGAAAACGAATAAAACATAGCCCTGGAAAATGACAAAAGATGTTGAAGTAAGCAACGTATTTCTCGCGAATTATTTTAATGGCATGAACTATAATATTTTTACAACTATTTTATTTTTTTCATGAGTTATTTATTCCAATACGTTTGTTGTTAAAATTATGGTGGTGAAGAGGAAGAAGGATGCATTATTGTCAGTAATTTTGGTTCCTTATCTGAACCAAAATGTAGCGGTGCGATGATAAGGTTAAAGAAAGGGCCAGGCTTGAGATTCGGTGTCATCTTCATTAAATTCGAATCGTTTGTTTTGGTCCTCATTCTGACACTTCATAATCGAAACCAACAGAAATTGCTTCTCAACAAATATAGAAGCGTCTATCCAATTGACAAACAAAAGCAGAGGATGGCGGAAGAAGAAATGGTCGTGCTTCCGTTGCAGGAAGATATCACAGAGACAGATTAATAGCTGTAGCAGGAAATGCTGCGTTTAGCAATCACGCTGGGAATTTTGGCTGGAACTGACAAAACATTGTGAACGATGACGCGAAAAGTACATGGGTAATAACTTACGAAGTGCAGTTCGTAAATTTTGGTTTACAACTAGGCATTCAGATTGGGTTATTAAGCATGATATTAAGCATCCTTTTGTACCATTTGATTCGCTCTTGGGTAATTAAATTTGGAAAAAACTACTGCTTGTGGAGCTGGTTATTTCATTCTCGTAAGATGCGGTTTTGGAATCTTGTTGATTATTAAGCGCATTGTATGCTGGTAATCATGGTATATTGGTAGGGTTTGCTATTTACGTGTTCTTAGGAAAGATAATTTAATAGCATTGGTAGTAGTGATGCTGTAAGTTAATGGTGGTGATGCAGAATAGCAAAGTTGAAGTTACTTTACGGTTTTTTTACATGGCAAAGCTTGCTATCTAGAAACTTGGATCGAATCTTATTAAGAAAGGCGGAGAGATTACTAAATTTCTGTCGTGGTAAAAAAATTAAGAGAATTAGATGTTCTTGTTAGTAATAAAGCAAATATGTTTTATAAAAAAATGACTTACTGAATACTGATTGGTCATGTGTTCGAGGAGTATAATAGTTATCCTTTATTGTTGTTCAAATAACAAATATAATAAAAACAGGTTAGAAGTAATTCAAATTATAGTATAATAAAGCTCAACTTAATAACGTAGAGTAACGGGGAAAATATTGAACGATTCGTAAACGGAGAGGAAATAAATCAGGATTGTGTTGGGTAGAGTTGAGTGGCGACGGGGAGAAATTAACATTGGATCTTGTTAGAGATTCTTAGGGTTTATATATGGGATGTGTGAAAAGGAACAATCATTACATGTTGACAGTATTCTCACAGGTGCAAGAGAAATTTACATATAAGAACAGTTTTCTTTAGAAAAAATTGCATAGGAGTTATTTTATCTGATGTACAGCTTTCTCACCATTGTATAAAAGATTTTACATGGAATAAAGCCTTTACAAATTAGTTACCATATATGCACAAATCTTCAGAAAAAGCACTTTTAGTAGATTAGATAACTGACTCATGACTTTAAGCATGAGAAAAAAAAAATGCCAACAATTTTCACAGAATTTGGATCCCACAACTTCTTGAGATGGGATGTTCGTATTTATAAGGGAAGATTCCAGGCTATTCTGTTTTAGATCAAGATCATTATCTCATCGTCATTAAAGTCGTCTAAATCACTGTGAGATTTTTGGAATTACAGTCCATCAATAAACAAGCTAACTCGCATGAGTGAGTTATTCGACATCGGATCATGAATTTGTCTCAGGATAAGTTTAGCCAACTTCATATGCAGTATTTGGAAGTACATTTGAAGCATATAGAGTTAATGGAACGATGCGTAATTGGAATGCTAGGAGCAATGCAGAGGTGGTGTCGAAAGGTTAGTAATGCCAGCATTTTAAGTCCTACCAGACACTGAGTACTGAAGGCATGTGGTCGGTTTCTAAAAAATGTAACAAGATTATGATCTGTTGAAGTCAGAAATTCTTGCAGTGTAAATTGACTTCAACATAAACAGGCAGAAGCATTTGTTCATAGTAGCAACATAGAAAGCCATTCGGATTCATCGATCAGCTTTTAGAAGAGATTTAAGAGAGTAGAAAAGTGAACCTTTCGAACATGGCTGCTGTTTTAGAAAGGGCTTCAATCCTTGCTTATACTCTAATCACTCCTCATTACTTTTTGTTTTAATCTTCCAATCGTATTCTTAGCTTTGCATTCTTTCTCTATTGAGTGATGTGGCGGTAACCATCTGTTTCCATGCCACTGGCTGCATGTCAACAGAACTCTTACCTTAAGCTGAGTTTTCTTTTACGATTGTATCGCTTGCATACGGACTGTAATATGGAATATCGAAGCAAAGAATACGAAACTGTAAGAGACCTATCTAGGAGTCCGAGTAACATATATAATAAATTGGTAACATTTACTCGCTTCGGGTACTCTAATGCAAAAATCATCCGGGACATTTTGACTGATTCTCTCTGAAATACCGGCCTTACTGATAAGCAGCTAAAACGATATCGTTAAATGACTGGTTGGAAGTAGAACTGCACGGAGAGAGGAAAAAGGAAGAGTTAAAAGGTAAAAAAACATTGAAAAAGAAGGCATAGTTGAAGTTTGTGAAAACGCGTAGTACTACTGAAGTTGAAAATGGGATAGTGAAAGAGAATGGAAGGTTCGAGAATGAAGAGCTCTTACGGAATTTGAAAATTCTTGGAAAATGAAATTCCTCAAAGCGAAATGTCCAACTGCGAGAAGTTATTGAGCTAAAGCTAACTCGAAAAGGTTTTATTGAAACTGTATACTGGCTTGTCAGCAAATGAAAGCGTTTCAACGACAATTTCAAATAAAAGGTGAGATGTTGAAATGTGAAATGAAATGTTCGTTTGCTTAAAATAAATTCATGCTGTCTGTTACTTTGTTATCTTTAAAGTATCCTGTAAGTACAGTCCTCGAAGCAAATACTAAGCCAGCACTTTCTAAACAATCAACTGCAAGACATTAACTGGGCCTGAAATTGTTTGCTAGCGAAGTCGCGGAGAAGGGTGCGCGAGATGTGATAGTGCCAGAGTGCGATCTGTGTAGTGGTGCAATGTGTGCTAGTGATGGGTAAACAGAGAGTGATGAGATAGGTGAAATAGTGTTATGCGAGATTGACAGGGCAACAGTGAGTGATGCAGGAAGTTGCTCAAGCGGGCCTCTGAGGTAGGGATCGAATGGCGGGAGTGCGGTGTTTTGCTCCATTTTTCATTCCAGCAAGCTTCGAAAAGTGGTGGGACAGTGCTTGTGGAGTGTGCCTTGTGACAAAAGTGATTTTCATGGGAAGTAATGTATGGTTTGTCTCAATGGGTCATCTGAATGTGGGGTTAAAAAAAATGATTTCTTCTGCCACTGATATATCTCTTTGGCCTGATAGAATTCTGGGAAGGTGCTTCCCTCCCTCTTTAATGTGGATAAAAGGGTGTATGATCTAAATTAAGAGCAGATAGGTTGGAATGAGTTGGCGGAAAACAGTACTGAATTAGAAGCGTTGTCGTCTCCTGTTGGTTCTTTAAATATCATATTTTCATTTCAAGATAAAGCAGATGGCCATTTTTTTGATATTTCTGTGACAGAATTTTGAGGGTCTTCCAGGCATTCTCGATGCATCATTTCAAAAATCTTTTGAGCATAGGGAGATAACACAGGGTCTGAACTTGATGTATATTTCAACTTAATAATCGAATAAATATGTGAAGTGCTCATCATTCAAAAGTGATATTATCGACGTTGGTGTACAGATCTTTCTAGATCGGATAGTTTTAATTGTGATGGTTGTCGTTGTTCATTGACTCAAAAATCGCTTTTTTTCTTTTGTCTTGAACTAAGCATTCATATGTTTCAGAATGGTTTGTCCATCGTCGGCCGTAGTCGTGGCGCGTCGACATTGTCAGCCATTTCTATTAGTTAGAACAGTGCGGCACATAGCAAATGGCGGTGGAAATAATAATTTGGCTTCAGATGCAGATGACTGGGGAAACAATAGTACTAGCGAACACACAATATTTCGACAGCGTATTCCATTACATGCAGCAATTCCATTGAGTGGTAAACATCTTACAACAAGATGGAATATCTGGCGTACTTCATCTTCCAACAGTCGTTGTGATGAGTGCGGCAAGCCGCTCAAAAACATACCATCATCGACGCGTGAGTAATAAATAACGTTTGTTAAGCAAGGACGGAATATTCTGTATGATAGCCCCATTCTAATCCTGGACCACAGGTGACCAAGATCTCTAAGTACAATGTATCTGTTAGCGTTGTTGTATTAAAATTTACGATTGCTGGTTTAGTTTTTGTCAGTTGCAAGTAGTTTAACCTAGTAGGTCATACTCGTCAACATTTGATATAGCTTTTATACTTACATCTATTGAATATTTCTTCTTTTTGTTCTTTTAGCGAGTTCACGTTATCTGATTTGTGAAAACTGTCGACGATTGTTTAGCTGTGGTCCTTTAGATGAAGATGACGAGAAAGGAAGTGTTTTGAAAGCAACTGAAGCAGACAAAAAGCCGCCATATCCAAAAGAGGTCATATTTCTTATGTTCGCAATTCCCCTTACTAAATCTCTAATATATATGTAAAACAGCTCAAATTTCTATGAAATTGGTCAACAATAATAATTTTTCAGATTTATAGTTTTCTGGATAAGTATATCATTGGTCAAGAACAAGCTAAGAAAACACTGTCAGTTGGGGTTTATCAACATTACCTGCGTCTTTATCACAATATCGAGAATAACATTGGTTCACCAGTTATCAGCAGTGCGGATGGAAATCGGCCACGTACAGGAGCATCTTCACCTGGTGTGTTGTATCAGGAAGATTACAGTAGAGCTGGCCGTGCTGACATTCGTTTTTTCTCAGATGCACCGGCACCCCAACAGAAACACCGAGTTGCTTCACCAGTATTTCGTCCACTTCCCGAAAATGATGTTCCGATCCGACTAGAAAAGTCTAATATTCTGCTACTTGGTCCGTCCGGTGTTGGTAAAACCTTTATCACCCAAACACTGGCCCGTATTTTGGATGTACCCATTGCGCTGTGTGATTGTACCTCCATGACTCAGGCCGGGTAAAGTTTTCTTGCCCTTCATCACATTTAAACGTTCAGTGTTACGCAGAACATCCCAATTCTCTCCATAGATGGGGCGACAAAATGCTTAACAGCTGTAATCTTCAGCATATTCGAGCGTCCAACTTATACGTGGTTTTACTATTTCCATAATACTAGGAACTTAGGCTAAATCATTTACGAAGGCAAGCTGTAGATGAGTAAATACTCTCAGGTAATTTTATCTAAATCGAAAGATAAATTGTTATAGTAATGGAGCTATTATAGAAATTTTTGGATAAACTAATGCCGAACTATATGGCAAGCATCCGAATCAAATTACGACTAGATGAGAGTCATAAAGATGAAGGGGTATGCATAAATGTAAACACGTTTTTGTAGTTATGTTGGTGAAGATGTAGAAAGCGTCGTCCAAAAACTTGTGCAGAATGCGGGTGGTAACGTGGAACGTGCACAGCAGGGAATCGTTTTCCTGGACGAGATAGACAAAATAGCTGCAGCACATAATGTGCAGTCTCATGCATTCAGAGACGTCAGTGGTGAAGGCGTACAACATGCACTGCTCAAATTAGTAGAAGGTGAATTTGTTTTTGATATCGTATCAGTACATGAGTTTTCATTTCATTGTTTAACTTAACTGTTTGGGAAACAGTCAAGTTTGTTCGGAATTTTACGACAGTTTGTTGTTAGATACGTCACTCTAAAAGAAATGGTAGATAACTTTTCCCCGAACGTTTCTTTTTTATGCTGGTTGCCTGTTATCTCTCGTTTGCTCTTAAGTGCTAGAAAGAGTATAGCTGTTGGTGATTTCTTTGTTTCTCTAACGAGAGTTGCAGGAACATTGGTGAACGTGAAGAGTAGCCGTAAATCAATGAGCACGCAGCAAGACTTCGTCCAAGTTGACACAACAGATATCTTGTTTGTCGCATCAGGCGCATTCACCGCTTTGGACCGTATAGTTGGCAAACGACTTGATAAGAAAACACTTGGCTTAGGTTTTTTAATTAATTGTTTCATATACTGTGAGGCGGTAAAATATTGATGCAATCTCAACCAAAATATACGCAAGATTCTGAGATTTCTGTTTATATATGTAATTCCTATTTTAGCACAGTTTGGATATATTTAGGTGCGAGGTCAGGAGTGCAGCGAATAACCGATGATGATAAGTTAGAAGCAGCAATCTCGAAAAAGCGAGACGATCTTTTGAGACAAGCGGATCAGGGGGATCTTATAAGTTTTGGCATTGTACCGGAACTTGTTGGACGTTTTCCGGTTATTGTGCCTTTTCACAGTTTGGATAAGGTTATTCTTCCTTGTCTCTGTTGAGTCCCCTCATACGTTTTTTCTTGAAATACAATTTTTCAAATCATATTTGTTGCATGTATCATACGCCATTATGATTTACAATCTGACAAAAGTATCAGCTTACTCGATGACATCAAGTTCATATAGGAATGCATGCTTTACCTTGGTTGCACTTTAATTGCAGTCATTAAAATAATAATTGCAGGGTATGCTAATCAGAGTATTAACTGAGCCAAGGAATTCACTGCTCGCTCAGAAAAAACTTGAATTTGCCATGGATGGTGCAGATCTTTCGTTTTCCTCCGATGCGCTTGATGAAATTGCCGCGCTTGCATTAGAACGCAAAACCGGTGCACGTGCATTACGTTCTATTGTGGAAAAGGTTTGTTAACCACTTCTATTACAACGTCACAACTATGTTTATTAGATTCATGTAGAACTATATTATATATTCTTGCAAATGCGCAGGTGTTACTCGAGGCAAAGTTTACGGTACCAGGAAGTGATATCGAAAGCGTTCATATAAATAGAGAGTGCGTGAAAGGTAAAGCTGATTACGTATATACGCGACGTGCGCAACAAGCTACAGGTTAACAATGACACACTTTTCTAAAGAATTGTTAATATATAAATATTGATATGGTATGGTTTCACTCATTTCATTCTAATCGATTCTGAGCAAACAAAAATATCAGTGCATAGGGACAAAATTGAAGTTATCTTTCTCGAGTCTTTCACATTCCTAGGATCTAATTAGCATTTATTGGTGATGTTCGTTGAAAAGCACTATGTCATGTAATCAATCTCTCTGTTATGCAAGCCTTGATTTTATTGTCATCTCCCTCTATTTACATTCATGTTTTGTTTTTTTCAGTTTCATTTTGTATTCTTTATGCTTCTGTATTTTTCGTCACTAATCTTTGTGCCATTTCTCATTTTTGTTTTAATAAAAGTGATGGACAGAACATTTCACATCATTGTGTAGTGTGGAAAATGTATTCTCGTAAACCAGTTAACTTATTATGAATACTTCAACTTAGTGCCGTCGACATTCGTAGAGAATGGGATGGAACAGTTGCAAAGAGCAAAACATGGTGGATGAAAATCATTGTGTTGAAGTGAGATCTCGAATTCATCCTTCAAGGAATATGCGGTGCGTGGAAATAGTGGGAGCACCAGTTACCATGAGAGAATTATATTCAACTCGATGGTCTATATTCGGTCAAGAGTTTTTAAAAGAGAAAAAGTTTCGTGAAGAAACGACCTCGTTTGGTGACACAAAATTCGCTGCGGGACGTCCTACTAATGTTAGCAGAGCAGTGTTTATTTGTGAGTAAATGTAATTCATTTGAGCAAATAGCGCTTTTAGAGAACTGCAAACAATCCGAATGTTGCAGTCCTGAAATGAATATGTGATGGCACTAAGATCTGTTTTTATTGCACATCAGGTTATTATTATTGCGCAGAATTGATCCTTTCCATCGTGACAATGTTGCAGTGCATCTATGTAGCAATAAATAATTGGAATATCAGCATAGGTCAACATGTCCTAGTAATCTTTTCTAGCATCTCAAACAACTTTCTGATATCATTATCTATGAACACTCGGTCCTTTGAACCAGCGATTTTTATTAATTCTTCTTCATTAACTGGGTGCTGGAAATAAAATATCTATTACTTATTGTAAACTTCCCTTTATATATTGTTATTATTAATTAAAAGCTTAAAAATGAGCTTATTTACGCCAAACAGTATACACAGCTAACAATAATTTAGTCGTCGCATGTAACTTTAGAATTCAGGAATATTCTAAAAGTCATAAAAGGAAACAGCGTTGATTTTATAAGAAATCATGTATTTTTTCTTAATTTATCAAGGAAACTTTCATACACTTTTCTCGTGTACATGACCAATGTAGTGAAAGATCGAGAAAAATTGGCTTACTTGTCTGCTAATGGCAACAGCGAATATACTGGGGATTAGATTCCTTAACAAAGTAGCTGCTTCCATAGTGTCTTTTTGTCCGAAACCATCGGTAAATACAATTACAAAAGGTGTTGCTAGTTTTGGTCTTGCACCTTTCGCTGCTGAATATTCTGTAACTGCCTGCAAGAAGTACAACCGTGAAAGTGAACAAAAGCGATATGTGAAGTGTACGTTTCGAAAAGATAATGATGCAAATTCCTATTTAGACATTAGTCTAAAAGCAGATCATAGAGAACCTGTAAGAGTGCAGCATGTATCGCTGTAGTCCCACTGCTGAAGGGAATTTCCTGAAGTGCCTGTAGCACTTTTTGCTGCTCTTGCGGTTTATCAAATGACCAGATTGTTTTTACTTTCTCCTTCGCTGCAAACTTAACGATCGCAACACGTGCGTTTTTTGGGCCTATCCGAAGTCGATTTATCATCTCTGCAGCAAGCTCCTTTTCACGACTGAATGTTTTCTCCACAGAGCCTGATGAGTCAATGAGCATAATAACGTCAATTTCGCAACCTGTAATTAAAATCACGCGTCGAATCCGAATCCCTGTACTGGTTTCCAATAATAAAAAACTAACCAGGTGAGAAGATAGTAGCAGTGTTTGGCGAGAAAGTGGTGCTTGTAGGTTGACGATGGAAATTGGAACTTGGGATTATTTGAATAGTGCTCAGTTTAGAACTTCGTGAACTTCCTGGTATTTCTTTCAGCTGTTTGTCTTTCAGATTTTCCCCATTCAACAGTGCTTCATTCTGTTTCTCCGCTTTGCTTACTGCCAGGACGGACTTTTCCTTTGCAATCTTCTGCCTATTTACAGACTTCGCTGATGGCCGTGGAATTCGAGCGCCCGCCACAGCAGTCGTTTCTTCCTTGGTAACAACCTGGACCTGTGCAATTATCAATAATTCATATTTAAATAGAAATGTGAAGGAAAAACTAGATCAAAGAGAACTTTCTGTGATGTTCGAGGGATGTTAACTGTTCCATGAATCAGCACTTAATGACAAACCTTTTTACTATCGAACCGTTTCAAATTCTGGTCTGATTTGCTAGCAATGCCTTTTTTTCGTTTTCCACTCAACTTTCTGCGTTCAGAAGTGCTACGGGCGTTGGCGTCAATGGTTACTGTAGGAAACTGAATGTCATGTGATGACATCTAAAACAGTATGATTAGGAAGTCAGCTAACAATATCAGGAAGCCAAAAGTGTACAATTGTCAGAAGTGAGCAGAGAGGTAACTGGCAAGTACAAAGGTCAAAGAGGGAAGGGAGGGAAAGAGAAGAGTTTATTTCCCTCGGCGGCTTTCTTCGCTTTTCACTAGAGTGAAACATGAATATTTGCTGAAATTTTCAGCTGCTTCTGCATCCGTCTTACTATGGCTTATTTATTTTGAAAATCTTAAAAGTAGTGAGGTAAAAATCGATAATACCCGAACACATCGAGCCTTATTAGCAGCTTCAACAGCATTGAGTATAACTCTGGCAAATTCAGCATTGCGATCGTAGTTGAACACATTATTTGATGAGCCTGTATACTTCGACAGTACCTCCACATCCACCAACTTACCACTGTCCACTGCATATTTGCTAAGATCTACCGCCTATAATGCGACCTCTCATTCAGGTTAACTTATCAGTTCAAATTGAAGATGCAAGACATTTAAGGACACCATTGCACAACGGAAACATTCCTCATACAAAAGGGAGGGTAGGTCCCGGGGAGATTCGAACTCCCGTCGCAGGATTCAAAGTCCTGAGTGCTAACCACTACACCACGGGACCATGCAACAGAATATCCTACTCAAATTTTGGTTGTGCGAGAACAGCGAGTTTTTATCATCATACTATACATTAAGCTTCAGAGGGATATACGATCAGGACAGTGGCAGGGAATGACGCAGTTGTCACTGCATTTCGTGTCAATGGGATCAATAATTGTCCTCCAACGCAAGCTATCAAATTTCAAGTGACAGTGACAGACAAAATGACGCGGCAACACGACCTGACCCAGCACGCAAGTGGTACGGGATCAGCCTAACCAATAGATAGGTCTCGCCTTGACCTTTACATGACCAAGAAGAGGAATCACAATACCGATATACCACGTCACGACATGATCTTCTATTGATAATTTCCCAGCATACTGTAACGCTACAGCTATTATCACCATGCTCATTGCTCAAATGTGAATATTTCCACCGACGTGCTATTTGTGGTGAAAGGATTCATTCACAGCCGTGCAGATTATTTTATTTAGCACAGTGCAATACGCACTCCGAATACCGCTTCCGGTTGTCAGACTCTGCCGATATCTGTATCACGAATTTTACTAGAAATAAGATTTCCGAAAAGTCATTCACAAGTAATTCCGCAACAAAGCTCCAGGTCTCGGAGAGATTTGAACTCCCGTCCCAGTATATTCAGAGTCCTGAGTGCTAACCACTACACCACGGGACCACAACACTTTAATCAATAGTGACTTACTTTATCAAGATGGATTATGTTGTATTTCTAAGGTTCGACTTCAAAATCCTCGTAGAAGATGAGAGTTTTTCAAGATGATTTTTTGGAACAAACAGCTGCTTTTAAAGAGGCAGCAGATTAACTTACGGAGCGCAAATGCTCAATAGCACTATCACGTTCATTGGAATTATCTTCAGATCTTCCGTCACCCACAATGACGAGCATACCACGGGCGTCCTCTCTATGTCTTTTGTTATATTCCCTGAATACTAAATAATCAATCAATATTGCCATGCTGATGTATGGTATGCCATTTCTTTACATATTGGAAATATGAACTACCAATATATTCATAAAAAATCATCCTTTAAAAAAACCAGCACTTACTGAATAGCAAAATTAACAGCCTTAGCATAAGATGGTTTGCCAGCTTCGGGCTTGATTGATTCCACTTTGGTAAAGATGCTATCCCTGTCCTGCAGATCACTCATGCTAACGACCAACTGCGGTTGACTGTTGAAAGTTATCACGGAGATTTTCACTGGACCGCTACGTTTTGTTACTGGTAGCGAACCTATACAACCATAACACATATAAGTGAAATGTATTACGAGGGAAATCGAGCTCATCTGAAGATCCAGGAAGGACGAAAGAGTATTAAATTGTGGCAAGACTTACCAAGTACATCTAGTAGAAGGTAGCGATTGGAGGAGATGGACTGCTCACTTAGATTGGCTTTTTTAATGGTATTGTCAAAGAGTACAATAATATCCAGATTGGGAGTGCTGCAGATTTGACTATTGAAGTCAGCCGAAGGCGTCTTCGTATTTTCCAGACTTACAGAAGCTGGTATGCCACAGTCTTCCCCACCGGTGAGCAATGAGACTACATCTGCCAAGAACCTGAAACTGACTCCATCATACAAAAGATTTGTTATTAAATGAAAGCAAATGCAAAAGTGAAACCTTTCGGTAGAATTATCCCTGTAAATGCGATCCGTACTACCGATATAATGTTTCAACTCGCGCAAGTCGATACTCTCTCCAAGAGCTACACCAAAAAGTTTTGCACCCGTTGCTTTCAGAAGCTGACTTGCTTCAAGTACCTTCTCCCATGGATCCTGCGACATTCCATCATTCATTAATACAACAACCTGAATCCAACTTTGGTATTAGAACTGACATATTTCGTGTTGCAACATGCAAAACTAAAGCAACTTAAGTTTTTCCAAATCACAAATATTGAGTGTTGATACCTGTATGGCATCCGGTCTCCTTCCGCGCTCCAAATCCTGTACCGATAATTCTACGGCTTGGGCAGTAAAAGTACTTCCACCGATGTATTTAATGTCCTCAATTGCATGGCGCACCATCTACAAGGAACAAAGTGGAAATTTCACAGCACTTTGTCACATGCATTTCCCTTGCGCAAAAAAAAAGGAAAAATCATGGTATTGCTGAAAAGTTACTCTAATCCGAAAGTAAGAAAGTACACTGACCTGTTTGTCCCTACCCAAACCAAGTGTTTGACGTAATGTTGGTACAGAAGTGAATGAGTTTATACCCACCGCGACATGAGTTTCACCAGCATCGATCGGTAGGCGCTCAATAAGTGAGAGAGCCAATTCACGCTGATGTTCGAAAACTTGCTGACGACTAGCAGATGCGTCCAGAATTATTTCCAAGTCCATCTTCGAATATTTACATCTGTAAGAAATACGTCCTTATCCTTTACTTACCATAAAAGAGGTATCACTGCGAAAGCGATACCTGTTTGATTCTAGTGACTTCGCGACAAGTGCTGATTCCACAGATTTATCATCCAGAGGAGCAGTGAATCCCCGTCTTCTATTCACTTGCTTCTTTCCTCCCTCATTACTACTATTTCCTTGCTTCATTTCATTTGAAATAGCCCTGGAACGATTCCAAACTAATTCCGGTCAGTGTTTTAATGTTTAATTCAACTTTTCAAGAAATTATTATAATTTATTACACTTACCTTCCTGTCAGCGAACTGACATCTAATCTTCCGACTGATACATGCTTTACCGGTAGTTTTCTGTTCACTTTACAATTCAAGATCACATTACTAACATCCTGCAAAGGAATTTTATGCAAATACTGTCACTGTTCTTAGTAAGCTTAGCATCCCAACGTTATTAAATAATTATCACTGTATGTAGATAGAGAAATATTAATGCACGATTATACCTTCGTAAAATTATTCGCTCTGTTACCGATGTATACCTTTGCTGCATTTCCTGTGTATTCCGTCAATTCATATTCTTTGGACAAGGTCACCGCATAAATGTCTCCACCTGTCTCGCGCAATTTCAAAGCTGCGCTCTGAATAATGGATTAATGAAGGTTTGTGTTGTTGCATAGTAGCTGATTGACCTATCCTCACTAATGTGCAATTTCTTGGGAAACAGCGCAGAATGAATGGTTGAACCGCTGGGGACAACTGAGGACGATGCTCCATGAGTGATGGCAAGTAGAAATATACCCCGATAACAATATCATCGAATTTGGACTTTAAATGTATTCGACACAGCATGTATCGAAAAAAAACAAAAGAAAGACTAAGCAAACTCAAAATCACTGACTTAAAAGCGATGAGGGAGTGAAAGTCAGTTCGGTATACCTGAGCAAGCTGCCGTGTATCTCGGTTGTTACCGCTGGAAAAGATAACGATAACCAATCGAGCCGAAGGTCTTTGATTTGAAGCTATTTCGAGCAGTGCTGCCTCCACACCTGCAGCTAATGAAGTTTTGCCTTCAATTTGTTTTAAGCGTTCCAAATCATACAGTATGTCCTCTGGTGTCTGCTTTTTTTTAAATCCGGAGTGCACTTTCCCCGTTTCGCTAAACTTCACTACTGCTACTGCCAGTCGACCCTGAAAATTAGTTTTTTTGCATGGAACACGATAATTTGCGACAGCAAGAAAAACCGTCTACAGTATTGCAAGGTCGGAATTTTAATTTTTTGACAATACCACAAGGTAAAATCTACCAACATGCAACCGAAAAATGAAGTGAAAAAGATACCAAAAAATCTTCTAGCGGGATCATTTTGATGAGATCCATTGCAGAAGCCTTTTGACAATTGAAGTCATTTTCAGTGTTAGTGGAAGTGTCGATAATAAATAATAAATCCACAAAGTCGTCTTTGCACGAGGATCCACTGAAACGTAGTAGAGGTACTAGAAAAAATGCCTTTATGGCCCTTTACTCAACAATGAACTAAGTATCTCAGGCACAACTTTTCATGGAAAATTGAGATTCTTTCAAATATGCAAAACACAAAACCTTATTGATGCTATTGAGGATTTCCGCCTTATCAGTTCTTTTTCCTCTACCAACTTTTTGTCCGCATCGGTAGACAATACTGTTAGGACCTCCGCCTGTAAGTAATGGTTTTATTGCTATTGCCACTCACATAGTACCACATTAACTCATTTTTCATTTCTTTTTGTTCACATCCGAATAATTTTGTAACCGCTAAGTTCTGATTAGTGGATGCAAATGGTGGTCAAGAAAAAATGAATGCAAAGAAAAGACTAGGCTGAAAATGGATGCGGATAATTTAGCATGAAAGATGGACTCAATGGACATGACTCTATTCTCTATACCTTACCAACTATCCTGGTATTATCATTCCTTATATTTCTCCTGTCTTCCATACCTCACATATATCCCTGGTTTATGGTTGCTTTCACTGTTCATCATCAGGTCAATTCTTCTTCCTTACTGAAAGCGTGAAATGGAAAAACACACATTTATTCGTGGAGGCAGTGAGAAGATTGGCGTAGAGGGATCCTGGCATTTAAGCAGTGATATTGTAGCGTCGTTCAGGAACCGTCCTTCACGACCATCCACATATACCAGCCATTTACTTCTTGTGTATGCTTCTAATTCCCTGCAACCCTTATAACAATTTTCGCACAACGGTACTGATAGCGGCTTGTTCCTAAGCTTCACATAAGATCAAATATGCATGTCAACTTTACGAACCATCCATCCTATTTATGCTTGCTGCTTTCACCACATTATAAAGATCTATACTATCAGAATTTTCCTTCCAATCATTCCACATATTTTTGAATCATTATGTTTTCTTCCCACTATTCCGTAGTTTATGTCATTATTACCACAGGAAAAAAATTATGACTGAAAAACAACTTCTAAAACTCCGAACTTGCTGGCGAATTGAAGCCATTTCCTTTAGCGATAGACTAAATTTACCTGAAATAGTAATCGGGATTAGCAGCAATTGCATAGACAATGGTATTAGTAGCATGAAGACGATCCGAAGCATCTAAAAGATCCTCCCAGCAATCCTGGCTATTACCATCCGACATAAGCACGATCATTCTTCTGCAACATTTTACAGGCACTTTGAAAGTTTGAATTATTTCCGAATGAATAAAGACATCCCTTTTCATTGTTACTATTTGGTAGCAGTCACCTTATAAATATATCCTTCACATGATACTAACTAAAAGGCAGAAATAGCTTTTATCACATCTATTTTAAAAATTTATGAAAATAATTGTCCTTCTTAACAGTGATAATATGAATCTACTTTGAAAATTCATCAAGTTATATTACAATACAGTAATAATCCTTCATCATCCTCTCTTTTCTGCAATATCGTTGGAGATGAATTCTTGGAGATGCAGAACAGAGAAGTTACTCTTACAAAAAGGAATTGTATAAATATAAATGTAAGTATAAATGTAAATGTAAATATATACATACATATATGGACGTGTTTTAACTTACCTGACGTCTTCTCTTCCTCTTTCCAGAATTTCTTTGATAGCCAAATTAATACCACTCACTGAAGACGTGTTTCCACCAGAATGTGTGAGAGAAAGCAAAGCGTTTAATATCTAAACTGAATAATACTTTTTAACTAGAACGAAATACTACTAAAAAATTTGAAAGGAACTTGTCGGAATGTACCTCTGTCCGGTTATTAAATTCATTAAATTGAAAATTGATCTGTGCCTCAGAACTGAATGATATTGCAGCAACTCGAATGCGATTATTGAAAGCTGATGGCGGAATTTGTTTTATCTAAAAGCAACTTCGATAGCAGTACAATTTTACAAATATCGGTCACAGACTTCTTTCTACGCTTTTTGATACTCCGCTACCGTACTGCTTTCTATCTCTCCCTAGTTTTTAAAGAGCGCTATTTCTTCTATAACCTGCTCTACTGAAAGAATTCGCATAGGTTATCGGGAAAAGTCCGAAAATTATAATGCAAATTTTCTGTCGGATTACCGAAATTAAAGCTATGTTCAAATAAAATTTCCACAATATCCAACAGACGGGTTGACGAAATCTTGTAAGTAAAATTAAAGCAATGAAGAGGATATAAGATAACAATGGACAGCATAACACAAAAAACATCTCAATATCTACATCAGGGACAATGATGTCATTGTACCTACACAATGGACAATGCCAAAGCTAGCCATACCTCCATGATAGCCCCGATGGAACTTATAAAACTTCTCCCTATCCTTATATATATATATGTAAATCCCGAGACAGTTTTTACAACCGAGCAGACGATAGATCTTCGTCGCTTATTCTCCACAACTGAATCACAAATGACGACATCTTCGCATATCTGCCACCACTGGACAACAAACTACGATATACAACAAACCCGTAACATATTCCTAACTCAACGACCTATCAACTAACCAACAGTCAAATTATTATCCAAGGCAACGATAAGGAGTTTGTTAGTTGATCATATTATTTGCTTTTTCTATAACTCATTTATCATTGCTTATCAATTCATCAGGTTATATACATACATATTTTGTATCTTTTTCTTGTTGTTAACTAGTAATATTGTGCAAGAACAATATTACCTCCCGAATAAATCTGTATTGCCGAGAAACTTTTTTTTTTTCAAACAAAAAAATTTCTTAACATAGGTTATAAGTGACTTGATGTTAGGATAAAATCTTGTAGACAAATTAAAAAGTGAGAACCAATGTAACGGCAAATTGCAACTGTTTCTGGAAGGTTTTCTCGACGCTCTGCGACGTGTCCACAATAAATATTAGATCAACCAGACAGTTAGGATCTTGTATTTGAGCCTGTAAATGAATCATACACTGCCTTAACAGTTAATAAAGAAAAAGGAGGCACTTCTCAGATTGGACACCATGAATGACGCATCTTTATGACTGAGCTGCCACGTATTTGTGTTTGGAAAGACGCCGAAGGTTATATCCTCCAGCTGAGTTATCTCACGACATCAAGCATACGAGTAAACTTTTGCCCGATAATGACTACATCGCGGTAGCGACCAAATCGTACTCAGAAAGAAGCATTGATTCAGTCCTCCATAATGTCACCTTTCTTCCCAAATAATGGCCTACTTATACACGCCTTCGATTCTTTGAGGCATCTTGGCAGTTCACTGGAATTTTTTTCAAAAATGATGCATGGTTCGGCTAACCTTCGATTTGATTTCTGCAGAAGAGAGATCGAAGTCAAAGAGCGGATGGCGTGTTTCATTTTCCGCAATTGATTTCACTATCATGTCTGGTTTGTTTGTTACATGAGACTGATCTGAAAGTGCTTAAGTTTCAGGAAAGAGAGACAGGGGGAAAAGCTGGATACTACGATAGCTGATTTAACACACCTGTTGAATAACTGAAGAAGGCTTACCATTGAAAAGTGTCGTGACAATAATTTGAGTAAAAGGCTCATCCATTCTCGCTATTTCTACAAAATCCTTTACCACTGTATTGTTGTCATTCAAAGGTGCATAATTTGCGAATTTCTGCAACAGGAAAAAAATAAACTGAATTTGAAGCTGCCACAGCTTTTTTAAATGGAACAAAAAAGTGCTACCTTTTTGTAAGCTTTGGGATGAGTTATGAGTATACCCTGGTCACCAACATACAACGAAAGTTCATCCTTCGAATAGTTTTCTGTGATCGGCACAACATACACTTCTGCGTCCGTTTCTGCAAGTGAAATAGATTCGTGAGTTTGTCTGAATTGAAGATAAGAAACTAGATAAATTGCACTTACAAGATTGTAAATTGTCAACAAAGATCGTTAATCTACCCCCCCCCCCTCCTCTCCCTCCCTCTTTTAAAGGACAAGACGAATATTCCAAAATTATAACTCTCTCTTGTCGGTTTCCAAAAGTGAAACTAACGTCTAAGTTTAGCAGCAGCTGTAGTGATAGTTTGCATGGAGTCTTGCGTACTACCATCTGTGAGAATCACAAAAATACGCTGTCGAGGACCTTCACCGGGAACGCTTATTTGTGCTAACGCGACATCTACAGCTGAAATATAGAGGACATTTTCTGGATATTTAACTATGCGTTCTGAGGACACCGAATGCAGTGCCAAAACTTTTAAATCTCTTGCATATCTAGCAAAACATGGCGAAATTGGTCATCTTATTTCGACCCTAACCTTGACAAAATGTTTCCAGATTGATTCCTTTAAAATTAAAAAATTCATTGGCCTCACTCCAAACAACTATATATCAGTTTACAGAACTTACTACTAAAATAACGGACAAAAAGTCTGAGAGTTATTCTTGAATTAAGTCGCAAGTATTAATTTGCGATTTCAATATATCTTGGTTGTCTTTTAGTGCTTGTTAATTGCTCATAGATATGCTATTTCGAGATTACCAGTATTTTATAGCTCGAAGCTAAACCCAGATCTTAAAGTTCATTCTGAGTACTAAGGGAAGAGAGGAAGAAAATCCAACCATCCCGAGATACCAACCATGAGGTCTATTTAGTATCCCAAGCTTGACTGTCTTATTCATATACTAACCATTTCTATATTTCAATTAATGAAGATCAAAATTGCGACATTTATTATTCAGAAACTCTGAATAGAATCTGAGAAGATTGCTGCTCCTTGGGATATCACATTTCTCCCGTTCATATCGCAGGCTTGAGATTTTATTTAATAATTACCTGCGGATACGGATGCATTGCTGTATTCATTTTGTAGTTTTCCCACAGCATATAATATATTTTCCTTCGCTGTTGGCTTTCTCAGCTCAATTTCGATGTGAGCATTATCGGTGAACGTTGTAAGCGATATTCGAACTCGTGATTGGAAGTCAATGACTTGTAAGCTTCGAAGCAACTCTGCCAGGAACTTTTTCGAAACCTCGAAATCTTGGTCTGCTGGAGTTGATGTGTCCACCAAAATGATAAGGTCAACGGGATCTGCAGCATCACAGTTGGCTTAATTTAAGAAGCAATATTCCTTCTAAAATCCAATTATGTAATCATAAGTGGTGAAGTTATCAGTCATCATGTTCAGCAACGGACCACTAGTTTTTGGACTGTTAATATCTGTAAGGTATAAGAGACCCTTTTAGTATTCAATTGACATTTTTGCAAACTTTAGACCTTCACTTATTCTTTGGGGACTTCTTTTCCTTCTCTCCATCGAGAGTTTCGAAATGGCCACAACATAATTTAAAATCGTTAAACAAACAAATACCGTAACCTCACAGTTTCATATGAGCAATTCAACACAATAATGCTTCCACAAATCGACATGGAAGCATAAAGGTCTATAGCAGTACTGCAGCAATGCCGTTGCCGATACTAAGACGTAGCGTAGTTATCTGCATTGCTGATACGCGTGCATGCAAAAAGCATTGGGAATCAAGCATAGTGGAAGTGCAATTCTAAGCGCATACATATAAGGAGTACCCGAAACTCTGCACAGAGTTAATAATAATGGTTGTAGTCATTCGAATGATACAATAAATAGTGTTGCATTTTGCTTATGAAATGGTTACCATTATGAGCCTTGATAGATTCGATAATTGGCGAAAATCCGGCATCGATGATCTCATCATTTTCATCTCCCTCCTTTTTCATTAGGTGTTTGCCTGAAATTATAAGTTACCATTTCAACCGCTAATCACTCTTAACCACTTTTCTATTAATGAAAAGATGGAAGATACTACTTACTTGCGTCAGTAATGAATCGTCTAACACGTCCGTCCACGTAAACCTTCCATTTATCTTTCGTAAAAGCTTCCAGCTCGGCAAACTTATACTGCTTACTGGTCGTTACTGCATAGATAATTGTTTCTGGCAATTCATGTAACTTCCTAAAAATGGTTAGTCTTGTCTAAAGCTTGTCACAACCAACAGCTGATGCGACTATATTGGGCTATATGGGGACATACTTTGCAGCTTGTACGACAGAATGCCACAGATCTTGACTGCTACCATCGGAGACCAGAATAATTATTAGCCGAGCATTTGATCGTCGAGATTTCTGAGCATACTGCAACAACGGGCATGAACAACAAATGGTTACTTGGTATATTTGTTCATCTTAGTTAACGTAAAGTGGTATAAATATTCCAACTGGTCAGAAATAATAAAGCAGCATGAAACCTGAGTTGCAAGTGTGATTCCAGTCACTGCAGAAGAATTACTGGCTACATATTCGATGGACTCGAAGTGCTGTAAAACTTGTGGTTTGGTTGTCGCTTTGCCCCATTCTAGATCTAATCGTGCTTCCTAAATATTGCTCATTATCATTCCTACAATTCAGCTTCCAAGACAAATTCAAGTCCTTCGATCTGATCAAGATCGAAAATTCAATTCAAGTCCTTCGATCTGATCAAGATCGAAAATTCAGTAAGTTGGAGAAAACTGGAAACATTCTGACAACCGGAAACACAGGCTTTCACGAGATGGGAATCTTATCCATGCTACAGACGCGCCATAACTGGAGGTTACACTGTACTGACAGTACCACAAGTTCTAATATTCCGATAAAATTCTGAGGTAGAAGTTGAAGAACTATTCGTTCTAATACTTCCACATTTCAGTCGGTCAATTACCTACTCACTTTACTTCCTTTATACTACATCTCAAATTGAACATCTTGGATCTCACTCATAAGTGCTCTTGATATCCACTTAAGTTTTTAATACCGAGTAATGTATGAACACTAACTTGGGTGAAAGTTACAACGCCTATTCGGATCCGTTCTTCATTGATATCTTCGTCGGTTACTTTGTTAACCAATTCCGTTACTAATTTCAACTGATTTTTCAAATTAGCGGGAAAATATGGCGAGAGATCAATAGCGAAAAGAAGATCCAAATAAGAAACTGGTGGAGAGATCTGAATGTTTTGTAGCCTTTAGTTATAACAAACGGTTCGATAGAATAAAAAAAAAAAGGTGATATAACTGAATTGGCAGTTATGTAAGAAGGTAAGAGATGAATGAGATAATACCTTGGTAGTAATGTTTGCTGCAGTTTGCTTTTCTACAGCTTCATTCATGATTAGTTCACTTTTGAGGTTCTTGCTCAATTTTGCATTCTGTTTATTATCTGATAGCAGTGGAGTACCATCAGCTTTAAACATTAACTGTCCGCGAATATTGGGAATCTCAATTGGGGAGCTCAAATCATCCAATGAATTTACAAAGGCTTCCAAATTTAGATTGCCCTTGCCGGATGGTTCCACCTTTGTTACCGGTTTCTTTGATAGTTCCTGTTCAGTTTCTCCATTCATTTCAGTCATACTTCGAGTTATTTGTGTCTTCGATTTCACGATAGTAGTAGAAACACTTTCGAATACGTTTAATCTTGGCTCAGTGACGTTTGTTACGTGAGGTCGAGAAAATTCTGCGCGCACACATTTATTAATTAAAGAAGAAATGGTGTGAACAAATCTGAAATGGTGAAATATTTTCGGATATGGTTTTCCCCGCACACACTAGGATGATTGCGTTTCCAGAAAAACTTTTCTGTAGTTTTACTGTAGCTCTTGCGGAACAATATCGCACGCATTTAACGTCAATATTTCTTCTAATGGGTCTTATCATAAGAATATGTTGATAAGAAACATAGATACTTACTGACTTTGCTTCGCCCCTACATATACTCGCTTTGCATCACCTGTATAGAGGATTAGCTCGTTCAAGTTATGGTCTTGACTTACGGGCACAGCAAAGACCTCGATATTTGCGTTCTGCAGCTTTCTACCAGCCGTTTGCGCCACATGCCAAAGTTCATGCCCATTTCCATCCGATATCAAAATGAATATCTGTAGCAGATACTTGCTTTGTGTTTTAATTTTATCTGTGTATAACAAGATTACAGTTAGTATTCCTGAATGTCTTGATTACCTCTCGTTATTATCAGAATAGCATCTCATGAATTACCTGAATCGCATCATTTCTCCGCCAACGAGATAAATCTGTCAGAGCCAAGTCAACAGCCTTCGCTATTCTTGTACTGCCACCAGTGAATTTAATTTTATCCAGTTTTTCCATAATTTCATTAGGAGTTCGACTAATTTTAAAAGGGATTACCACCTCGGCAGAAGATGCAAAACGCATCACAGATACCTGTAATATTATGACAGATACTTGTAATAACGATGTATGGAAGAAAGACTGTATTACATTATTACTTCGCAGCAAATTTACCATGATTAAACATTTGCTAAAATATAACGAAATAACGGAGCTTGGTTATGCTTTATTGAAATGAATACCTGAATACGTCCATCTTTCAGTGTCACTGGTACCAAAGAATCAATCAAGTCGTGTGCTAACTTCCGCTCATCCTCGAATACGTTGAAAACAGAACCGCTTGAATCCAAAGCGATCATAATATCGATCTATAAATCAGACATCATCTTGAAGAATATTAGATAGACAGAAGACATTTACTATTTAACTTGAGTTAATGATGTTTAACTTATACCATGGATATTCTAAACTTACCTTACCAGCTTTACATGTCCTCTCTAAGCCGAACTTCTCGTCTCGCTGCTCTTCCGTTTTATACGTCCCCATCGCTGCTTGCAAAGGTGCATCATTGGTCTTGCTGTTTCTACTGAGCGATTCAGAAACATGCATACATCGATCAGTTGCCTATATCGAACATTTTTATGTTTATAATATCAAGAAATTGTGGAGTCATCCCCATTGCATGCTAACATCATATACCTTCTCAGTTTACAGTTCGTAATTTGCAATTTTTGTAATAGTAATAGTTAATTGCTTTATAACAATAAAATTACGCGCACATATATAATCAATCCAATGCATAGGCATGCGTATTTGTTAAATTACTGCGGTTCACTTAATTAAATTAAGTTAGTATAAGGATTAGCTTATAAAAATACAACGACAAAAACTGCCGATTATGCATGACAAGGAATAAATGAATGTTAGGCAATGATTATACCAATAAGTTAGCATCCTATTTGATAATCATTTTACGGAAATAATAAATTTTCATTAAAAAAATCTTTTTCCTCTCTTGAGATGTGTCTTCTTGAAATATCGTTCAAAGGAAGAAGATACACATGATAATCGGGAAGTGACGTACTTTTCTCATTTCCTTAAAAAAGACATCACGATCAGATTCTGTGGCATACACATGTTCACGATTCATAGTATAGCCTATAAGAGCTGGAAGATTCGGTTTCTCAGTTGACGTGATAGCGAACAACGTCGCACCAATACGTTCTAAACTATTCCTAAAACAAAGCAATAGTAAGAACGATGTGCTTTACGGAAAGGTAGTATTTGTCGCGAATTCCGATTCGGGAGATTCCAACCATACCCCAAACAAACAATCAAATAAATTTCTTGTTGTAAATAAATGTTAACAATAGTGTAAATCATTTAACCAATCTACATTCTTTAAAATTATTTCCCTTTTATCTTATCTTTGTCTAACGGAAATTCACATCTTTATTTTAATGACAAAGAATGTCCAATTTGCATGCTAATCTTCCCTCTCTTC